CTAAGTTCTACCCATTAGTAATGTATTTCATTTATATTCAAAAGCTATATAAAATTTGGGTCCAAAATTTCCAAATTGTCCAATAGGAGGAATTTCTACTTTTTTAAGAAGTAAACATCAAAAAAATCTTGCATCAAGAAATTATATTCCACCATAAAGCGTTCACGAGGCTTTTATTGTGAAATCATAACTCATAAATAATAAATTAAAAAATGATAGCAACAGGGCAAAGGTTGAGTGTCAGTGGCTAACGCGCTGCACACAGTGATAGGACAATGAGAGGACAGATGAAAGCTTAGTCACCAGTTTGGAAATTGCAAATTGGAATAGCCAAACAATTTGTGACTAGGATTAGGAATTTTGGTAAAGTGGATTTATATGAATTCCAATTGAAGCAGACTAATTGTATTTGGACTATTTTTATTTTTAACAAAATTAGACCCAAAATAAAAGGCCCAAAAAACTGAATAAAAAAAATTCCACAATCTTCGTATTCCTTCCATCTTCCTCGTTTCTCCACTAGTAAGGTTCAGGTTTCAAGCTTCTTCCTAGCCGGCTAGCTTCTTGACGACGACAATAGTTCTGGCGGAGCAACACACGCAGTTGCATGCCTTGCCAGGAGCTAGCTCCGCCATTGTACATGCCATTTACCACTAGCTGCTCGTTTGGCTCGACTTAAAATTTAATTTAAAGTCATCAATTAATTATAATCATACAATTTGTGGAACTCACAATTTTTTAATCACACTCCATTAACTTTTATCAAAATTTACTAAAATTTTGATTTTTATCTAAATCAAACATGGGCTTTTTGTTACTACATTGTCATATAGACTAGTGCTCTATAATACATCACAATACTTCGAATAATATTCTATTTGTCATTTTGAATGTCAAGATTGAATTGATTATCATCTCACGGGATTGAATGGCTTCACGTACGTGTATTAGACGAGCTAAAGTAAGCATTTAGTTATAGAAAACAAGGGAAATTTTAATATAGAATCTCACATCTTAGGGTTGAAAAAACATAGGCCAAATTCTCCAGAATGAGAAATAAAAAAATAAAAGCTATAAATTTTCATTTGGAACACAAAAGCAGAGGCTTGAAGTCGTGAACGTGTCAAATCAGTCCATTCGGCGTCAATAATAAGATTGGACTCACCTGGACATGTAATTAGTGGGCCAATTGAATTTGATTTATGGACGGGCCCAACTTGCACTTTTTGGACGGTTCGGAATTACGAATATTCAATTTAAAATAAAAGTACACTTTTAAATCACGAACAATAAAGACAACTAGAATATGAGTTTAGCATATAGATATCCTCATGTTCGGACCAATGGATATCATGTTGTATGATGACTTTAAAATCTCATCGAATCTTTCGATTAATAGAAATAAATGTTTTTTATAAAAAGAAAACTTGGTTAGGGAAACTGACCACCTAAAGAGGACAACTATTCTGATTTCAACGATCAAATTATCAGGTGTAGAAATAAGAAAAAAGATGCAACAATTGGTCGCTTTGATGTCAATGTCACCCATGTTTTGTTCATCCACAATAATGTGTAATAAATTGGCGATTTATACTCAACTAAGGGTGTCGTTTGGCATGATCATTATACTTTAGGGTTGTGTTGGGCTGAATGCCTAAATAATGAAATACCAATTAAAATTGTGGAGTCCTATCGCACACGTTCATTGTATAAATATTGGTATAACATTGTCTATTACAATTTTTGAACACGAAATTTATCATAACTTGCAATTTTCGCAAATTGTAGAAGTTAGAATTTTTTTAGAACAAATCGTGGTTGAGACTTTAGCCCAATACAAGTTATTTATGGATGACCTCATTTGTCAAAGTAAATTATTAGTAATAGGATTAAACCTAATTTTTTCCATTTACAAATCCCGGTTACTTTGGCCCAAAAGTTGGTATTTCCATCCATCCGTCATATCAATCAATATTAATTTAATTAGGGATAATAGTAGCAAATGTCCTCAATCTTTCATGTCTTTTGCAATTTTCTCTCCAGCCTTTTTTTTCCTACAAAAAGGTTCCTAAAATTTAATAATTCTTTTGTTTTTTTATTTGTTTTCTAAAATTTTCATTTTTAATGGTTTAACCAAGAATATTGAAAACAATAACTTTAACCTTTTGAATTTTTTAATATTCTGGTCAAAATTGACTAACGGATTAATGGATGAAAACAATCAATTTGGATAAATCCCATTAATTTATCAGAGGTCGGGGACCAAGCTGTCCAAATAAAAGGTTGGGAACGAAGTTGCAGAAGAAGTGAAAAATTGTGTTTGCAAATATTTACCTCACATATTATTCACTCTTATTGTACTTTAGACTTGGACCCAGGTGGGTTATCCTATCTTGGGCCACATGAGCCTAATGAAAGGGATTCTGGACGGTTAAAGGGCCCATATTGAGAGAGACATCTGATTCTGAATTTGTAGCCCAAAAGCCACCAAGTCAAAGCGTGCAATTTTAATCACATCACATTTCACTTTACCTTTAAAACCTGATCAATTTTATTCTTTTCTTATCCTTTTTTAAACAATTTTCATAACCCGTTATATAGAAACTTTATACGAATTGACTTGGCCACCACAACTACAAGCAGTTCAAGCCTTGCAAATTCTTTAAAACTCGTTTTTTCTTTTATTCAAATTCATTTAAACAATACATTCTTCTAATAAAATAATTTTGCACATGGGACTCTGGGAGAGAAATCTTCTTCAGATCCCAATACTGTTTGAAAAATAAGGGAAAATTGCAATCGAGGTACCAAACTTTTCGTTTATTAGCAGACTTTGCCCAAACCTTTCATTTGTACCATCGGAGGTACCAAACCTTTCAAAATTCGCATCCAAAGTCCAAATTGATAGAAACCGTCCATTTGACTGTTAGTTGACCAAGAAAAGTAAATTTTGACCTATTTTGACCTAATTGGAATGAGTAAAATGGTAACTTGATAATTACCATATTAAATAAACTGAACAAAAAAATCAAAAAATTAAGAAAAGAAATTAAAAAAAGGGTTGTCTTCTTCAACCACGCCACCCCCACAATCTTTGTCCCTAAACCAGCCACCAGTACCACCGCTGTCACCACCACCGCCAAGAGACCAATCGCACACCACTACTGGCAACAACTCCCTCTCACACCCATTGCCAAAAATCCATTACAAAACTAAACAAATTTCTCCAAAATCGACCAGATTATTCGAGTTATTGCCACTGATCGCCCATGAATTTTACAACCCTGCAATGACCCTAACCAATCCACAGCTAATCAAAATGGAAGTCGACTCATCATCCAATAATAATACCAAAAAATGCACTTGTCGTATTCAATACGACACAAGTGCAGACAAGTGCATGAACGACAGTACCATTAAGAAGCATTTGGACCCACAAGGTCAGGAATTGAGGTAGGACATGAACTGAATTTTCACACAGAAAAGGCTGAAGAGGGAGAAAAGGCAAATTAAGCGATAGATTGTGGGGCCATTTTTTGTTTCTAGTTCAAAAATATGATAATTGAGGACCCATTTTGGAGAAAATTATATTCGATAAATTCTGGAACTCTACAAATATGTTTTTTTTTTTTTTGGTTAAAAGTCATCCCGAGAAAGAACAGATCAAGGCCTGCAAGTTCGATTAGCTGTGAATTCGATTTTTTTTTTTTTTTTTTTTTTTGTGGTGTAAGAAGGAGTTGTTGCCGGCATTGGTGTGCGATTGGTCTCTTGGCGGTGGTGGTGACAGGAGGTGGTGCTAGTGGCTAGTTTAGAGACAAAGATGGTGGGGGTGGGGTGGTTGAAGAAGACAACCCTTTTTTAATTTCTTTTCTTAATTTTTTTATTTTTTCTTGATTTTTTTATTTTTTGTTCAATTTATTTAATATGGTAATTATCAAGTTACCATTTTATCCATTCCAATTTGGTCAAAATAGGTCAAAATTTACTTTTCTTGGTCAACTAACGGTCAAATGGACGGTTTCCATCCATTTAGACTTCGGGTGCGGACTTTTGAAAAGTTTGATACCTCCAGTGGCACAAATGAAAAGTTTGGACAAAGTCTGCTAATAAATAAAAAGATTTGGCACCTCGACTGCAATTTTCCCGAAAAACAATGGCAGTTTGATAATGGAGATGCCTAAAGGCTCATAAGTCATAAGTCATAAGCAATAGAGTAATTAATGGAAATGAAAATTTTAGGAGTCAAAGATTTTCAATAACAATATTTCTCCTTTTTGACCAGAAAAATAATCCGACCAAAGGCTGCAATGTGCTTGAAATTGATCCCTGCCTAGCACCTATATGTTGACTTCGTGTGCAAGAGACACATTAGAACTGAACCAGTGGAAAAGAGTAACTAAAATAGCATAATAATTTGAATGTTTATGGCTTCAAAACTTGGTAGGCTTATAAAGATTCTTCTTCGTCAGTTAATCAAGAGAATGGACCCACAAGCAAAGAGAAAGTAAAGGAAAGAATAGAAGTGAAATGGACGGTAGGGGCCTTAGGACTCCACGATGAATCTTCACTTTGCGAGCCGTTCGAAAAATAAAGCAGTGCAGTACGAGCACAGTTAGCAGCATTTGAGTTTAACGTCAACTAATACCCTTATCATTCTCGGCCTAACGAGATGCTTTAATTAGTGTGGACACTCTCCATCGAATAATGAATTTCATTCGTCCGAAGATGATAAAGTCATACGAGATTTGATGGTTTTAAGTGTTTTTGTGAATAATCTCGTAGTGTGATTCTAAAAATGAAACTATTTAATTTGCCGAGTTCTTTAGACATAGTTTTAATTTGTCATTTTGACCTATGTTTATATCCATTTAGGGTTTTTGAAACTCATTAATATGCTTTGCAAATGATTTGGTTCTTCTTATGTATTCACTCAACAGATATTGCATTTGTCATATACATACTTTATCGTATTAAAATAAAATTTCTCATAGAACCTCGTACATGTGTCCTAGTCAAGGACCAATAATTTTACATTCCCAACATATCAACACTCCATTCCTACTCATAACAAGTACATAGATAGTTTTTCCTTGAACATAATTAATAAAACAAGAAGCATATGAATTTGCACCTTTTTCCTAATAATGGCGCATGACAATCTCACTATGAAATTATGCTTCTTCACCAACCCAAGATTTAATACTAGGTCTTTATATATATTTAATTAATATTATAAACATGCTATATATCATAATTACATGCTCTTGGAATCATTTGAAGAGCTATTGTTCCATGGAGAAGCATATGGTAGAATCAATCCGGGATTCGACTCTTCTCCATTATACAACGTTGAATTGGACGTAACTTGATATGAATGTGCTGCATCATTGTTTGCATATAGCATCAAATCAGCATTTGTAGCGTCTAATTCCTTTTGAAGATGAAGGACTTGCCTTTGAAGAACAGATATTGCTCCAACACAGCCATAAACAGGATCTTTCAATCGAGCCTCGGCTTCATATGCCAGAGAGTTCACTGCATCTTCTCTTTGATGAGGGGGGATTTCATTCAGCAATTTGCTAACATTGCTTGCCCCAAATATTTTGTGTACATTGGCAAACTTTGTTGGCTCCTCGGGAGGAAAATATGGAGCAAAACTGCAACTTGGCAAGCATTTTCTCCTTAAGAATTTGCAGGCAGCACAAGGAGGGTTTGAATAGCTGGAAGAAGCCATTTACTGCAAATGGAATCAATTAACTAAATCAAAATGGTACAATTTATCTGCAAATTAATTATGAGTAAATAATGTTGAGAAAATTAGTTTTCTCTTGGCCAAAATCTGGTGCTTGATGGAAATAATTATTTTTCAAGATATCTTAATAAAATGTGATCTTTTATTGTTCATTATCGTGGACTCCCAATATTCGTCATATACTTAAGTAACAATAAAGTGGACTTGACTGAATTGCCATGTTATTTTTTACGAAACCATTCATCAAAATTAGGAAAAATTGTATTCAAAATATCATCGAAAGTGACAAAGTTTCGTTATTTGAAAAGCAGAATATGTGTTTTGTGATAGCTACATGTCTAGAAATATAAGAACGGTGTGTGATTGAGGTAAAGACACCTATTTCAGTTATCCAGTGAGCTAGCTATAACCCAAGAATACACAAGGATTGACAAGAGAACAAGTAGGATCAAACAAGTATGCAAGTCACAGGGAAATCATCTTGGTTCAAAATCAAAATGATTGGCCAGCAAAGTAGTAAAATTCAAATTGAAATATCAAATATTTAAGCCTAAGAGATCAAATTTCTAATTGATTAATTTATTTCTATATTTCCTCCTCCTTTCTGTACACTACCTCCTAGATATCCGTTGACAAATGCAAAAATACTTGCCCTTCAAAAATCATACAAAAAACAAATAAATAAATTACTTATAGAATTCATCTAAATAACACTCAGTTAACTTACTCTTTTTCTATTTGTTCAATAATTAAATAGAAACTTGATAATACACCTAAATATGTTCAAGCCAGTGCTTCTATAATTGTTCGCTGTGTATGCAGATAGGAACACCTGAATCTTATTTGAATTTGCCCCACTCCACATTAATTTCAAACCTGGACCACGTATTTTCCTCCGTCACACCTAATTAAGTGTCTTACCAGTAAAATCCAACACTCGAGTACCAAAAAAAAAATAATCAACGTATAAGAACTTAGAGTATTTAGAAGGTTGACGACTCGATATTACTGGTGCAGTCCAGTGTGTATATTATATCCAACATTAACCAAAACCAAGTCAAGATCATACTGCAACATATATCTTACTTCATTAATCCGTCCTGCAAAAAAGATTCAAGTGAAAATTGGAAAAAGATGGATCTTAAGAACTTTTACAAAGAACCCAACAAATTATATACCTTATTGATCTATATTTTGCCAGCAATTTTTATTTTTTTTCTTGAGGGAGAGCCAGAGAGGGAACAAGGGTTTTCTTTTTTCAAAAAGAAAGAAAACTTTATGTATTTAGTTTCGAGCTTCTTCACAAATCACATTGATTTTTTTAAGGATGCTGCTATCAGACAGCTTATAGGAAACAAAAGATTTTACGATTGAATGTTGCTAAATGTTAGAGAAGAAAAGGGAAAACCCTAGCAGCAAGCAGCAAGAAAGAGGAGACAGTAACCTGCAGAAAAAGATTGCACTGTAATATAAAGGCAAAGAATTATGATGAGTTTGGTGAATGGAGAAGGAATGTCAAGTTTATAAAGCCTTGCCATAATTAATAGACCTAAAATAATTAATTAAACAAATGCTGACTGTGACCACTCTTCTTTTTATGAAAATAATCACAAGAAAGTATAATTAAATTATTTCTTTACTGTTTTCATTTCTGTAAATTATTGTAGTCATAATCAGGTGCTTTAAAAATCAAGAGGTGGAATTGATGGTAGTACTTCCAAAATCATGCTTCTTCTGTTACCAACTTAAATTGATACTATTCTTGTTGCCATATTAGCTTATTTTTTAAAATTTAATTTGGATAATTCAGGAAAGACAATTAATTTCGAATAGTTATTAGCTAAATTAAGCAATATTTAGCTAATTAAAAACAGTCAAGCTGACCGTGCGTACAATGATCCCAAACCATGCTGAAACATATTTACTCCCTTCAAAATTTTAAGAATGTAACAGGAACTAATTAGATAGGAGACATTGAATTGCATTTAAAATAAATTTATTTATAAAAGAAAGGGGGAAAAAAATAGTTTGAAGTTAGAAGGACATTGACATAATGTTTGCTATTAATTCTTTAATTTTTAATTCGAATGTCCCAAACAAAATTCCTCATCCCTATACAATTGATGCTTCTATTATTGATTTGTCCAGCAGCATTAACTACCAAAATCATTTAATTTCATATATATTGTCTTTATATGTGTTCATGAAAGGACATATAATTAGAAAATTCAGTGGAAGTATCAATCCTTTTCACTTTACTTCTCTCTTTATGTTTTCCTCTTGCTTCCTAGCCAACATGTCCACAAATTGCATGTCATAAACATATTATATTTGTGGAGAAACGCGCAATTTGAGGATAGAAATGTTGTTCGTCAATGGAAAAACGTGATATCGGCACTGTAGGTTTGAAATTTATTGGTTGTTAGTTTTTAAAATAGTGATCGATAAATTGAACTAGATTTTGTTGTTTTTTGACATGAATGAGAGATGGGTTCAAGAATTCATTTTCTTTTCATAAGGGCTAAAATAACTTATTTTGACTTTTTACTCTATATTGTAGGGTGGTTCTTGAAAAGCATGAAAGATTTCCCTCCAACTTATACATATGATTTACATCAAGCCATTGTTTGATTCCCATTATTTTTCAAATATATTTTTCTCTCTTTTTTTTTAACCACACATTCTTCAATAAAATAATATTATACGCAAACTCAAAACTTTCCATTATTTTTTAACCACACATTATCCATCAATTTACTATTCCAAAATGCATTCTTAAGAGAAAATGAGGCTCAAACGGGCTCCAAATATGACTTTTCGCCGAATTCTATGTTTATGTAGGAGATTGAGTACGATATTCTGTTTACTCACTTCAAATTCAATATCGGCCAGACGCGAGCTTTAGTTTCAATTTGATTTGCTTCAAACCACACCCATTGTTGGTCTCGATAAACCGAAAAGGTTGTGTTAGTGTGTCTTGTTTCCTACTTATTATTTTGGTATAAAGTTACCTTTCCTACATGTACATTAATTTGGTGTATATGTGATCCTTCTTAATTGATTAGGTCTATGCCAACATGTGGTCACTCGAGACTAGAATATTTGATGCCACAAAATTTTGGACTATATGGCGTGATTTTCTTTAATGTATTAAAGGAAAAGTTAGGTATACATGAATATGGAAATAAAGAGTCAGTTCTCAATTCTCATGATTGTAGCCTCATAAAGATTTTCTATACATCTCTATGGGTACATGAGTCCATATTGTTATCTTATCAAATGTAATCATGGATGGGTGCCATATAATAATTGCATACCATTCAATCTCAACAATTTTCTATTTTATGATTCATTTTATGTTCAATTATTTAATTTAGAACTTGAAATGATTAAAAAGAACTACATTTATATATTATCTAACACAGTCATTTAGGTATCGATGAAATTATTTTTTCCAATAGAGCTAACATGCACACAATTAACTTAGATGGGTAGTGGCAAATTTTGAATTGAGGATCTTTGTCTACTCTAATACCATGTTGAATTACATTAAATATATCAGTTAATTAGTATATTTATAAAGAGTAGTAGGTCTTTTCCATGGCTAGGACTACAAGCAAGGGTTATCTTTGTAATTGTTTGACATATTGAATAATGCAACTTGTTTGTCTAACATGGTGATCTCAAAGCTTAAACTATTAGATAGGACGACATGTATTTCATTTAAATATTGTCTTCAACATTATAGCTTTAGATCATTACCGTAAGAGAAAAAATAAAGCAATAAACAAATTTTCGAGATCGTTTTCCTTAGGTATCGTACATTGGTGGCATAGTATCTCAAAATCTCTTTGTTTACAGGATAGGAGTAGAAATGTGTTAGAACACTTCACAAAAGAATCATGTCGCGGTGAAAGGTTTCACAATGGGTTTCTGACCCTCGTGATCTCAATCCACTCTAGAAAAGATGGGATTCCTTAATATTAAGATGTTAAGACAATTGAAAATGCCGCAAGTGGAAGCAACTAGCTTTGTTACAAAAAGATTAGGATTATAAACCATCAAAGAAATATTCAATAACAATTTCAGTCAAAATTGATGCAACAATTGTTGATTCCATATCTCTACCAAAGATTATTATGTGTTAAACAAGTCGAGGTTTGTTTTCATAATTGACTTGAAAACCCATATTTTTATGAAAAGTAAGTGATTCTTAACATGCCTGCAAAGATACTTTATGTATTCTTATTGGATTGCAATCCAAAAGTTGGGAATATCTGGAGGAATAACACAAATCGATTGAAGCATGGTTCTAATGATTAGATAGACAATTATTGGTCCTTGATGGGTATTTTATACAAATAAAATGGCATACACACATTTTATAAATTTTCTATTTTTATTGGACAATAGATTTTCAAAAGATAGAGCATCAGTGTTTGTGACCCCAGCAAATGATTGTAGATTCTCCAAGCAGATATCAGATCATATACAATTTCATCCCCAATTCTGCAACTATTTCGATTTATCGAATTCTATCTGCACCACCACAAATAACAGCATAAATGGAAACGATAAGTGTAGATACAACAATGAAATATACACTGATGTAAGGCGCTAAATGCATGTTTGGTACACAAATGGTACTCAACATGCATAAGTTGACAGTATAACAAAACAAAATTTCAACTCATTTTGTGTCCAATACTATCTAATCTTCCATACATATACTATACAGTAACTATAAATAAGTAGATCGATGAGGAAGCTTAATCAGGAAACCAGAAAGTAGTCTCGGATTGTCTTTCTCTTCAACGAGGAAGGAGGGTTTAGCACAGATGAAGGGCTTTTTATTTTAGCTTCTGGAGTTTTATCTAAATTTTCTTTTACATCAGGATTAAATGAAATCCTTTTTTCCTGGGATTCAGGGGTACCAACTTCTTGCATTCTACTTGAACCGGACATGCAAACATTGGATACAACGTTCGAAGTCCAATTTTTAGTGTCACTCTTTATAGATGATGCCTCGTCCACAAACAGCTTTCTACGTTCCATTCTTGGCATTGCCATGACTCTCTTCCGAATTGAGGATGGAGATCTTGTGTTTGAATAACAACTGCTTTGGATATTCCAGAAACGGACCTAACAAAGATTTTAAGGAAAATAAGATACAAAAATCATCACATTGTGAAGATACTTTCTCACTAACATTAAAAAATGGGTTAAAAAACTGACTTTTTCTCCAACTTAGTTACGAACTTTCACTTTATTTGGGTTTAGGAACTCCATGTCTCCATTAGTGATATGCAATGATAATGATGTGGCTCGTGGAATTGATGATACAGCTCATGGAAAAAATGATGTGGCATTAGAAACTGGTTTGGTTGAGAGGTCACATTGCCAAGGACGAACAGATTGTATTGCTACATCATCAATTCAATAAGCCACGTCATTATTGCTGCTTAAAGAATTAACAGGGACAAGCGGAGTGCCTAAACTAAAACAAATGTGAAAGTTGAGTTGAGCGACATAGTTTAAACAAAAAAATCAATGATTGAGTGAAATGACTATAAGTTCACTGACAACGGTGTTTTTAACCCCAAAATGAGAATTTGGAGTGTAATGCTACATCAGTTGGATGTGCTTAATTTGTTGTGTATGTGACTTACTGTGAAATCATCTGAACAGGTTGCCACTTTCCCAATCTCTGATGGGCACCTGAAGGAAATAAATTGTGAGAAATTTGATTAGAGTTGAAGGATGGAAGGCTAAAGCATCTTATTCATGTTTACTAGAGAGGACAGACAGCACTAAACAATATTAAAGAAGTTAAAATCTTCTTCATTCCATCCCGTCCGCTCGGTTAGTGCTTTCAAAGCATGCAACGTAAGGCTTACCAATCAACAGCTGTGACTTCTCCATCATGGCTTTTCAAAGTGATGGGATCTGACTGAGGTTCATGCACCTGCTTTGACATGGTTAATGGAGTTAAATTTAGATAGACAAATGCTGGAAGAAAGTATTCGAAAAGAAATGAACCTGCCATATGTAGGCATTTCCATCACCGGAACCACTGAGTACATGAGATGCATCAGGACTAATTACGGACTGTAAATTCACCAATTATGAAATATGTCAGCAATGGAGCAGTACACAACCGAAGTATCAGAAATTACAATAAAATAAATTATATACCTTAACAAAAAATGATTCAATTCGGCCGCCAGAGAAACTTTTTATGGCCCCCCTTTCAAGCTGAAGTACATTATACATGTATATTCTGAAAATGAAATATCATAATCAAACATAAAATATGATCATTTAGATATTTACTTCATTGTTTGCTGTGATCTCCAATGATCCTGACAGTATGACAACATTCATTATGTGCTCTCGCGAAGAAGCACATCTGCAAGTTTCAATTATATTGGCAAAGTAAGTTCACCTGTGATCCATGCACGAGGCTGTGATAAATACTCCATTCAAATCTTGAGACAAGCTAGATATGCCGTGTAATCTCTTTTCCTGAACAAGAACAAATTAATATTTTTCCTAGATCTCTTGAAAGTGCAACTGAACTTTAAATTGTACAGTCCAATAAATAAAAGGTTTTCCATTTAAGGTACTTCATGTATCAAAACTCTAGATTATATACCGTTAATGGCCTTGTAGATGCCACAAGTCATAAGGAATTCATTGCAGAATACATGGAACTCACTATTTTGTTATGGGGATTCTATGACGACGAAATTGTTCAAAATTATTGGTGAACAAAACAACCACCAAATCGAACCAAAACTGTAGTTTTAAAACCTTTGATTTGGAAATTATTCAGTTTAGTTTTCAACATTTCAAAAGCCAAATCGAATAGTTTACCCAATTAAAATTAAAAACTATTTGTTGTACCCAAAATACTAAATATTAGTTCAAGATATACTTTGACTAATTTAATTGCTAGTTCGCTTCTATTGACTCCTTAGAGAAAAATGGATTTATGATAATATTTTTATCTATTTCAAAAATAACGAATTTGTGAGTTTAAATTTTATGATTGAACCTTGTAATTTCTTGATTTAAACGTGTCTGAGACAAATATATTAGTATTGTAATGTTTATATTTAAAATGTTTCAATTTAGGTGTTATATTGAGATTTCAGACCAATTTATTTATTTTTTAACTTGTTTGAAAATTACTTTGTAAAAACCATGGTTTGAAACCAAACCGAACCATAAAATATGGCTTGGTTTGATTTGGTTTGGAAAATGAAATTACCTGGTTTGGTTTAGAAATTTTTCAAACGTGTAAAATGGTTTGAACAATTCAAAAACCATCCAAACTGAACCGTAACCACCCATATTCAAAAAGACAACAATAGGTAAGGGCACGTATTATGCAAATTGCAAAGCAAGACTAACCTTTGCAGTTGATTCGGACTGAGGGCATGCTTGAGTAACTGGACCTTTGAGATGCCTTGTGTCCCAAAACTTAATAACACTGAAATTAAAGGGACAATAAATCATCAATATCTCAAGATAGGTATAAACCAGATGATCTTCTCATCTATACTTTCAAGCATTACAAAGTTTCTCAGGAACCTGTCAACTGCTCCAGCCGTAGCAATAGAAACTTCATCTTTAAGATAAAGAACAGATGTGATGCTCATGGATTCAGCCTGAATGAACTAAAGGTAAGTAGGGTAATAAATGTTGAACAATAGATCAAAAAATATTATCCAGAACAGACCTTTCGACGCCTGAGCCTTCTTCGACCACAAGAAAGATGAGCCTCGTAGACAGTACTAATTGGCCTGATAAGAGAGAAAAACAAGTTTATCGTCATGTTTAAAGTGTTTGAGATATATTCATCTGTTTGATAATGTGCAGAATCTCTGTTACAAATTTGTTCAATAACAGTTCTTGTTATCAAATTGTTTTCAAAAGCCATCAACATTATGGATGTTTCAAGAAACAGAAAGAATAAATACTTAACACAATTCTAATGCTATAAATTATAATGTATTCAACTGCTAAAGTGAATGCAGAAACTTACGATAGGAAAAGCTTCTGGTAGGTATTGGAGCACCTTGTGTCCCATAGAGCAAATGACCCATCTCTTGAACCAGACGCAACAAGATCTATTAAAAAAGTTTCATCAATCAATTATACCAAGAAAATATTCGACATATAACGTGGGGTGGGGGTCAAGAAAGGGAGAATTCTTCAAAAAATGTCAACCACACACAAAAATGGTGATGATATAAGAAGATAATCATGAATCATAACCTTACCTTGATTGGTGGGATGGGAACTAATGGACTTCACGCTTCCCGTGTGCCCCATTAATGCTCTGATGCATTTCTTTTCTTGCGTATCCCATACCTTAATCTATTCAACCATAGATTAACGAGCAATCAGTTGTTGTCAAACTAAATCAAGCAAATCATTTTATGCTTGGTAATTCATTTTTTTCTTTAAATGGATATTGTGGCGAAGGAATATCACATTTTTTAGGATTTTAAAGAAACCTTAAAATTGGAATTGCCATATGGTACAAGAAATCTTTTATAACTCCCTTTAAATCAACTGTGAATGTGATCTAGACAGTGGGAAAATTAAAATATAATTTTATTGAAGCAAGGTCACTCACACTTTGATCTCCTGAGGCTGTTAATAAATTTGTGTCATCCTGAAGAAAATGGAATCAGTTAGTTGTTGTGTTGTAAGCATTCTTTATCGAATAAAATAATACAGAACACCAGCAATTTGCAATTAAATTCATCAGTTCAAAATCTATTAGCATGTCCTACAATTTACTGAACTTGTGGTGATTTCAGATACATGAAAGTAACAGACATTCTAGTTTCATATTAACTATATGTGTTACGCCTCTTTTGGAGAGTCTCCATATCACCTCCATTTGGCAGCAAGCTAGCAAGAAAAACAGGCCCACATGCCACATCATCCTATTACATGGCCGAAGCAAAACCACACATACGATAACCTAGGTGAAACTCTACTTACACTGAGGTGCCACGCCCAGGCCGACCTCCATGACCTAGAGAAGGTGGCTGTCGCAATAGGAAGAGAGCCGTAGATAGCAGGCCTCTTACTCATTGAAAGGCACGTCCCAAGGGATCTTTTGCACAAAGATCTTTATGAAATTAAATCTTTTATGATTGACTGATTTGATATCCCAGCTCCTAAAGGTCAAGTCATCAATTTACTTATCGAAGAACATTAAATGCCCATCATCCTATGATGGACGGATTAACACCTAAGAAAAAACTCCTCAATCGTCAGATGAGGTCACGTGTCTTTTGATCCAATAGTCAATATCGTACCCTTTCCACTATAAAAGTTGATACTTGCTACCATTTTAAGGATAATGAAACTTTACGCATAAAAATATAAACTTTGCTCTCTCTCGATTAATATATTCTCAACTTGCATACATCTTGTGGTTACGTCTCTAGCATGTCCCACACTCAATACATCCAATTCACCAACTGACTTGACCGTTGGAGTGCTCCCTATCACCGAAGAAGGCCACGGATGACTAATGATTTGTCCAAGTGCGTAGGAAGAAGGCTTACGGGGACGCGAGTATAAGGAGGATCTATTGACCATGTTGGAGTTCCAAAAACCAAGGTCAACAATATTTATTTTCATCGAATTTTGATTATTAGTTGAAAATTTAGATGCGGGGAAAGATATTGAAACCTACAAATGTTAAAGGCATTCTTTAAAACAAGACTATAAGCCAACAAGTGGAAGTGACATTAATTGAGAATAATACAGGAAAGGATGTCTTAGATACTTAAGGAATATTTGCGTAGACCATAAGATTTTTACTTCACATGGAAATAGGTTTTCCAAATCATTGGTGAACCAAATTCTTGTTGTGAAGTTACAATCATATATAATTTTCTTTGACCTTTTCAAAAGAGGAGGTCTAAATTTAATGCAAGAGATAGAAAAAGATTTAGATATCATATAACACATTAGAAATAAGGTCAAACTTGTTGAAATTACCATCTTATATTACATGGAATGTGTATAGCCACTTATATCACTATAATTGGAATAAATCAATGTAATTAAACATTTCTAGTTATAATTCAAATGACAATTTTGTACAAATGGAGAATGACTACTTTGTTCTCGCTACCCATTTCACTATCCACCATAGAGTGCATAATAGATAGTGCTTTTTAACAATTTTTATTAACTTTATATGGAAAAATATTTAGTGGGTGAATAATCATACTATTAATTATGGAATAATGCTATTTGTGGTAACTCACTGCCGCAGTTGCTCTACGTGACATACATGTAACGGTTAGTAATTTAATGTATGAGGCAAAAAAACTACCATATTAATACATCAAAATCACAAACCGTCATATAGGATACCAAGAACTATGAATAGCATTACTCTTTACATCACATAAAGTAATATTTCAATCTTTGGTAAACATTGAAATGATGATCAGCATGTTCACAAGTGCAATTCATTTTGAAATCAAATTGAAAAAATACACAGCTGAGACATATAGGCACCTTGATCCAACAAATATCAAATATGGCATTATCGTGTGCAACCCACTCCGACACCTTGGCTTTTTCTGCACATATGTTTTCAACCATGATTAGCACATTGAGCAGCTTATTAATTATCATTGTATGTTGAAAATTTAATTAACCTGCATTTTCTCCATAATGCGAGGAATCCGTGAACTTCTTCCTTGTATTGTACAGTCCAATATAACCCCCCTCATCGGTGAGAGCAAGAATATGGGCATTTTTATTTGTCTGCAAGGCACCAGAAAAATGACTGGAACAATTTTTTTGGGACATATTTAAACTTGATACAATCAAACACTTCGACCCAATTTCATCATCTGAACAGGACTGAAAAAATACCACTTTTCCCCTGGGAAAAAAAAATAAATAAAGGCCTTCCGGCAGAACTTGTGAAAATGGGTATTACCCATCCAATTCCAAAACGGTTCAAAGTATCCAACTAGTCAAAGCTCAACATGCATTCGTAAATTAGTCGTAAATAATGAAATTGACCTTGCAGAAAGACAGGGCCATCGGAGGTGACAGATCACCGTCGTGCTCCACAGCAACAGCCCCAATTGGAGCCAAATCTTGGGAATCGTTCCCCATATAATGCGGTCGTTTTCTTACTGCAGATACTATTACACAAATAAGTAGTAAAACGAAAGATTCATGTTCTTCTGGATACTGATAAAAGTAAAAGATACAGTACCTCGGAATCCATTGAGTTCTCTCGATTGGATATCATTGAAGAAGGATTGCCGATTGAAAAACTCCATCTTCTACTGTTCGTAGAGAGAGATAGATTGAGAGTTTTGAGGTGGTGATTTCTACACAAGGGTTTAATTTGGCGGGGATGGTGGACTAATAGAAGCGGGAGATTTTAAAATTTTTTGGTTTTTTTATCATTTTATTCATCTCTGGGCGGACTGTCCGATGGGAATTTATTTGTATGCCCAGCCCCCCAAATATGTTTTATGAGCAAATGAGCAATGCTACTCGTACAGAAATTATTGTACAGAACTGTTACAGAATACATACATACAAAGCGGGTGGATTATTTTTTGCAATATTTTAATTCACCCCATCTCAGACACATCTGCAAGAATTCTGGAATTTTTTTTTGTACAATAAGCATCAACCATGTTTTATTATTATTGTAAGTTGTAACTAGTAAATTGTCCTTTTCAAAATCAGAATAGAGTTCTACGTGCGTGCTACGGTTTTGGGTAGCATAACCACGAATGTGCAGAAGGGAAATTCAAATGACGCGATGGGGACGAGGACGATGTAGAGGGAGGTGGGACTAGATGACTACACAAATGGATAATGTACGTTATTGAGTGTCTAAAACTAAATACTAATGGAGTTCTTCGTTGAGAGGGTAAATGGAGTGGACACAAATGTCATCATGGGAGTATGGTGAAGCTTTTGTCAAAGATGCTAGCTATTTTTTTCTTGGTGGATGATGTAGAGGAAATAGCAATGCGTGAAGGCCTGTTATTTGTAGATTAGGTATGAAGCTTGGAGTCGAACTTTAATTTTCCGCCAAATGCACGTGTAATTGATATAGTATCTCTATTTTGTAATGTGAGAAATCGTTTTTGTCACTTTATTTTGTGAAGAGAACAGAGCAGTACATATACTCATCTTCATGCTTATTCAATAGATGAATTTATTAGATGAATTGATTGTGTTAAGGAAATAAATAAATTAGAATAATGTATATTGGGCAAGAATGCAATTTGGTTTATTTCGTTTCCATGTTTGTATTATATTTTTATGTGTATGTATCTCCTCATAATAAAAATAAACGAGAGGAAGAAATTATCATCTCCCACTCTAAGTTTTCACCAAACTTGTTTTTCAACATGATACCGAAGCAATATCACTAGAGTTTGGTATTTTTTGTTGTTTCTGCTTCATCTGAAAATATATTTGCCGTTATTAGCCGAGTTGTTGGTTAACGATGACAGTTGAAGTGGCTTTGCAGTGTTCGCTCGAGACCTCTATGGTGGTTCTTGTGGTAGTCCAACTGTTGGGTCTATCAAATTCAATTGCAGGTCAAGTGACTGGCTCTTCAATAGTCCTCAATTTGGTCTATATTTTTCATCAACGGCTAGCAAACATCGCGAGCAGCTTTTACACGACTGGACGGTGTTTGGACTTGGGCTGAGGATTTGATAATATTCACTTGGGCTTGCAATACTTTTTTCTTTTTAAGTTGGATTAATTATTTTGTGGGCTTAATATTTTAAGATTGTGGGTTGATTTTGGACTCTTTCATTATTGTTTGGTTGTTAGGTTGGTTGGTAGGCTACTTTATTTTGGGCCTGTTAATTTGATTGGTTTGATTGTTGGGTTAATCGCTTGAATTGTAGGTCTGTTTGAGATCATTTAATTAGTGTTAGTCGTTTGTGTGGATAGTATCATGTCATCCAAAATGAAGTTGTTCAATCTGGCTGGGCCAATGGCATCTGAGAGATTGAATAAAAGAAATTATACTTATTGGATTGGGTGTGTTGAGGTGTTTTTGCTAGGAAAAGGTTTATTTAACCAATTGATTTTGGACAGGCCGTCTACTAAATTCTCCAACGGTGATTCTACTCTCAACGATCGATGGGATTAAGAGGATAACACAATTATTAGACTTATGATTAGTAGTATTTAGCCTCATATCAAATCTTCATTCCTTTATGTGTCCACGGTTTAGCAAATTTGAAAGCATCTTAAACATATACGTTCTGAAACTGAAAAATGTCACTCAAATGTATGAGATGAGTAAACAATACTTTGGACTTGAGAATGGCTCCTCCAACCTCATTAAATATTATAATAGGATTTTTGTTGTGTGTTGGGAAAGAAATATGCATCAACATCTCTTCTATTGAAAAATAGCACGATGATATTGATATTGTTAAATTTCTTATTGGTCTTTCGCCGGAGATTGAAGCGGTCCGGGCATAGATATTAGGTGGAAAATAATTTTTCAGTCTTGCAGAAACATTCTTTGTATCAAGATTCTACTCCATCTGATAGTATACCCAGCAGAGATCATTCTACTTTTAGTGCTCGATGAGGCTTATTCAATGGTAGACATAGCGGTAGGGATGGATGTGGTTTTATCTCTCACAATTGATGAGGCAGTAGTCATTTGGAAATTTGTGAACCTCAAACATGCACTTATGTGGTCATATTAGTCACTCTATTGATTGTTGTTGGAACTTACATTGCAAACCATCTAGTTTTGCTATTCAAGTTTCATTTAACGAGGGCTATCACCCAATATCTGGACCATGGCTAACTCCAGTTCATCACCAGAATATGGTTTCTTATATGTACCACGGGATGCGTATGCTGAGTTCTTAGCTCATAAACATGTCACTTCCACTTTTATGACCATCCTCACTCAATCAAGTACTACATCTTCTCAATGTCTATTGTTATCCTTTCAAAATTCGTAGATTATCGATTCTGTAGTACCTGAACACATGACTTTTTCATTTACTTTTCTTCTTGATTATCTTATTACTTCTTTCACATGTGTCAACCTTGTTAACGGTTCTCAAACTAGTTTTGCAAACTCAAGAAATGCCCATCTTATTGATTTGTTAGCTGTCCTTCATCTTCCTGACTTTTCCTTTAATTTATTGTCAATTAGTAAAATTGTTACTACTCTTCAATCTTCTGTAACATTTTATCCTTCTTTGTATGTTTTTCAGGATCTCAAGATTCAAAATGATGATTGGTATGGAGTATAAGTTTGGTGGCTTATATTACTTGAGTCGCTCGCTAGTCTCCCCTTCTCGAGCTCTCAAATCCTTTGTCACACCCATGCAATGGCATTATCATCTTGGTCACCCCTCCTCTTTCAACTTTAAAACGCCAAGTTGTGAGTTTTATGACGTGTCTTCCCTTAATTAGTGAAACTTTTCAGCTTAGTAAATATCATTGCATGTCTTTTTTGTTAAGTTCTACTAGTCGTGTTTCTAGTTTATTTGAGATGGTCAATTCTGATGTATGGGCACGATTAATATTTTCTCTAATAAATTCAATATTTCATCACTTTTGTGGATAATTATTCTCGTATGATTTGGTCGTTCTTAATGAAAAATTGTTCAAGTTATTTTCTATCTTTTAAGTTTTTCGTACTTTGATCAAAACTTAATTTAATCGAAAAATTTGTGTTTTGCGATCTAATAATGCCAAAGAATATACGTACGCTTCTTTTGCATTATATCTCTCTTGCCAAAGCCATTTTTATCAAACATCTTGCACATATACTCTACAAGAAAATGGCACTGCAGAACACAAAATCGTCACATATTAGAAGTTACTCGTACTCTCCTCTGTCATAAATGCATGTCCATAAACACTTTTAGAGTGATGCCGTCCTTACTGCATGCTATTTCATTAATCGAGTGCCATCTTCTATTTTGAATGGCGATTTTCCATTCTCTCTTTTGTTTTCCTCTTATCCACAATACTTGTTACCTTTCAAGTTTTTTGTTGTGTTTGTTATATTCATCACTTTGGTCTTGGTCACGACAAATGTGACTTACGCTCCATGAAATATATTTTCCTTGGTTACTCCGAAACGTAGAAAAGGTACATGTGCTACAATCTTCCTCTAAAATGCTACTTTATAAGTGCATATGTCACTTTTAACAAGTCCACACCTTATTTTTCTAATCCTAATATGTCTCTCGGGTCCCCTCAAGATCCTGTTTGCTTATTAGGAAATATATGATAACTCAGTTGTCAGTTGTCAAGGGCCTTTGCTCTACTTGGTGGCGGCTACCAACAATTTTGTCGACCTTGTATTTGATTTACAGTACAGCCTATAAGATAGCAAAATTAGATTCCCAGAGTGATGCGAATCAATTAGAAGAGAAAATTTTAAACCAATTGGAAAAGTAAAAAATAAAAATAAATAAGGACCTGATAATAGCACAATTTGTCATGTTTTCATCCATTTATACTTGTATTTGTATGATATATTGACGTCTAAACATACTAAGTACCCTTATATTTTGATTTAAATTGCAAATGGATGAATACAATGAAATTTAGAAGAAAATAGAGAAAAATGACTAAAGTGAAAGAAGGTGAAAGTTCAGGGATCAAGTTGTAAATAATCTAAGAGATGAGACAGGCGATGGAATGAGGATTCAAGAAAGCTAGGAGTCTATTGGGTGCAATTAGAAGTCAAAAGAAGTTAAACATGACCATAATCTTCACAAATCATATTCCGACCTCATAATGATTTTCCAAATTTTCAACCGGCAATTGAGATACACTTTTGACGTAGTAAACGTTCGAATTTGGAAGGAGCTATCCTTTGCAAAATTGGAGCCCTTGTGTTAGTTTTTCAACGTACTTTGAATTGCCTTAATCGAATATCGGAAGAGAAAGTTATGGCCAAAATATTGAAAGCAGTTGTATAGAACAATTTTTGGTCGAATCTTCAAGTTTCTTTATTCCGTTCAACCTCTTTTAGAAACAATTTGGCACTCGGTTTTAAACTCTAATTTGACTAGAACACGCCCCCCTCACATCCTATCTCTTTTCTCTCATCTTGGGTAAAAAAAACTCCATGAAAAACTAAACTAATCGGTGAAGCCACGAAAGAACTCGATTAAATTTGGGAATTTCAATATCTTTTATTGCGTGTAAGGTGTTTTTCATTATTGAATAATTCTAAATCTGGATTTCTTATGTTATTGGATATGTTTTGGAATTGAGTTAATTTGCATTAGATTTTTATGAATTCAATCATGTTTTCTTCATTGAATAATCGAAATGTTTATTGATTTTCAATTTCAAATAATTTATTGGTGTGATTCTTTACTATTATATGCTTG